CTACATCAAGTGGAGGAGTTTAAGTATTTCGGGGTCTTGTTCACGAGTGAGGGTAGGAGGGATCGGGAGATCGACAGGCGGATTGGTTCGGCATCTGCAGTGATGCGGACACTGAGCCGATCTGTCGTGGTGAAGAGGGAGCTGAGCCAGAAAGCCAGGCTCTCGATTTACCGGTCGATCTACGTCCCAATCCTCACCTATGGTCATGAGCTTTGGGTAATGACCGAAAGAACGAGATCGCGGATACAAGCGGCCGAAATGAGTTTCCTCCGTAGGGTGGCCGGGCTCAGCCTTAGAGATAGGGTGAGGAGCTCGGACATTCGGGAGGGACTCGGAGTAGAACCGCTGCTCCTCCGGATCGAAAGGAGTCAGTTGAGGTGGTTTGGGCATCTGGTCAGGATGCCTCCTGGACGCCTCCCTGGGGAGGTGTTTCGGGCATGTCCTGCCGGCAGGAGGCCCCCGGGTCGACCCAGGACACGTTGGAGAGGTTACATCTCCAATCTGGTCCGGGAACGCCTTGGGGTCCTGCCGGAGGAGCTGGTGGAGGTGGCCGGGGAGAGGACGGTCTGGAGCTCCCTAGTTGGGATGCTGCCCCCGCGACCCGGACCCAGATAAGCGGAGGAAGACAACGGCGACGACAAATTTAAGGTACTCAAAGATCCTAAAACTTCACCTAAAAAGGAATCCACTGGCCCACACTTTGTTCATGGTAACACACTTCACTTTTGAATTTCATCAGCAGAAACACTTTTAAACAATCCTTGTTAAACCGGTTAAATCAGTGCTTTATTTCAAATAACAACCTGTAGAAAGCAGAATCATCAGGAAAATGTCCTTCACAACTAAACTCGTGTTAATGTAAAAGTACTAAAACGAACTATTCTGGCTGAAAAGCTAAGGTTCCTTTTACTCAACCTCTGATAATTTAGTTGACACCTGTTTAGGTCTTTGAGAGGATGATGATACATTTCCTCCTTTCTGTTTTCCATAATCCGCTTTTCAGCCCACAGCTGTTTCAGTCCTCATCTCAGATTTCTGTTGTTTGTCATGAAATCGTAGATTATGCAGGATTGTTTAAGCAACATGAAGGGTTTGATTGTTTAGCAGTCCAGCGTGGTAGAATATCAGTGTGAGGCTGCTTTGTAGCTCTGGACAGGTAGTGTTATGTTGTGCTGCACAGCTGAGGGATTTACGTTGTCTCCCTACACTGTCCTGACAGCGACGAGCTCATTATTTCCAGCCGACCCTTCTGGGAGTGTGTTACAGTTCCCTCTCATGCACACTCGCCCAGCTTTGGACCACTTGACCTTGGTTGCTATGACAGCAATGGTGAGGGCTGAACTGAGGTGTCAGTGTGTCTCTTTGATGAGTCCCAAGGCACGCCATCCCCTGCCCACCCGTGTTCTGCGTTTGTGTGTATGTGTGTAATGATGATTAATACCTTTGTTTTGAAAGCCACCGGAGAGTAGCTCTGTGTTTGCTTCTAAGGGTTTTTGTGTGTTTGCCTCAGAGCGTGAGGTGTGTGTGTGTGTGTGTGTGTGTGCCCTGCCTGTTTGTGTGTATCAGTAGTCTCAGAGTCTAGTGCCCTCCGAGCTGTCACCAGCATGATTGTTTATAGTTTTGACATCTTGCACCTCACCCCTGCTGTTCATCAGCTTCTTTCTGTGCTCCTGAGAAGGTTTTGATTTAGTCTGGTCTTATCCAAGACTCTGCTTTATCGGTAATTTATTTTATAATATTTATGTATTTATTTGTGTTTATGATGGACCAGCAGGCCACATTGAAGATGCTTTTGTAAAAATGTATTTAAAGTAGGAAGGTTTGGGCTTTTCTGATGGAACATCCTCTAATTAGTCGTTTATCTCCCATCCTTTCAGTTCACAGTCATTTTCTAAGAATCTCATTAACATGTTTTTGTGAAATTAGTCATGATGACACTTATAAATTGCTTTGTGAAGAATGATAATGCTCCACAGAAGGGCCTCCACAGGCATGTTTACATGCTGGAGATTTTATTCTTGGTAATTTATTGTTTTAATCTCAGGCTCACTTTAAAAATCCCAGAAAACTGCATCCTCTGTTCTTGACAGCTAAAGAAAACACTGGATTTGAAAAGGGGCCAGCTTTTTTTCACATAAAGGTGCATTTTATAGTTTTATATTCAGCTTAAAGGGGCATTATGGAAGTTTGACAGCCAAAACATGTATAGAAATAATAAATGTCTTCTTCATACATTCTCCTGCAATGCCCTGGTCCTGTAGAATGAGCCCTGGCATTTTTACTGTGATTGCCTGTTTTTCTGTAACATCACAGAAAAAGAGAGATGCTCGGGTCGAGCAGGCTGCTTCATGCGCGTTCACGCTCAGGCATAGCCCGTATCGTTTGTTGTCCATAGCTTTAGCAGCAGAGAGAGAGGCAGTACCAACTCAGCGACTTATTCACTGTTCCTAACGCCTAGTGACAAAGCTAGCTACATTTCTGAGGACCCTTAGCTACTTTCTGTAGAACTTTCTTCTAGATATTTCCTGCAAATTAGCAACAAAATAGCCATTTTCGCTCGAAACCGTTCTTTGGTTTGACGTTGTTTCAGCTGTCATCAAGGATATAAAAGTTACAGATACTGTAAATGTTACTAGAGTGTAGCTCACCTTGTAAGATGTCTGACTCTCATGCAGAAGACCTGGGTTTGATTCTGGATGTGAACATAGTTTATTTAGAGTTTCTTTTTTACATTAATGGTATATTTTTTTACAGTAAGATGCCCAAATTGTTATTTGAGACTCGCCGAACGGCATTGAATTCACAGATAAAAAAGATGTGGGTTCAACTTTCATTTTGGAACAATTTTTCAAGCAAGGGAAGGGAATGATCTGAGCATGCAGGAGGACTGACCCATCATAAACCTTTGTCGGCTGTGCTGAAGAGAAAGGTACAGAACCAAATTATTTCATTAATTAGCTGCGCGTCCTCCTGTCCTCTGTCCTCCGGGCCACACACACACACACAGGACTGTCTAAGCTGTTATTTTCGTTAAGGAGTGTGCACGTACAGCATGCGCGCCTCGTGCACGAGCCTACTATTGAAGCTACCGTTACGCTTTTGGCCTGAGGGGGGCAATCGCGAGCATAAAAATCCAAAAGTCCGTAAAGTTCCTTTAAATGCATATTTTTTGGTTCTCTGTTTACATCTAATAACTTCTGTTTGGCTTTTAAAAAAATGTAACTACTTTAAACTGGATTCATATTTCTTGAAGATGAGCGGGAATACCACAGTTCTAAAAAAGACGGCTGCTAAGGTGAAAACAGAATGCCGCTGTTGGTTAAAACACTCTTGGTGGTGCTTTCCCTACATTTTAAAGAGTAAGTCACCCCCAAATCAACTTTTGATCTTTTTGCTGAAAAACTGTATAAATGAGTGTTATTATTGCTGTAGACATGTGTAGTCATTATTTTTGGCATTTTAGTGCATCTTATTTTAAAATTTTAAAATTCAGCTTAAATCCATCATTGCTCATTCTTCAAGTTAAAACTCTGCACTACAATAAATTAGGATTAGCCATAACTAATGGCTAAGAGTTAGCCTGTGATGTTGCGGTACCATATCGCTGCATTGTTATCAAGTCACTCATGAGCCGATAAAAAAAGATATGGCTCAGAGCCGCTCATCGACTTAAAAAATTCTTCCTTTCTTCTGGTGAAGGAGCTGAAGGAAGCCTACAGCATTCTGTTTTTTACACTTCCCGTCTACGTCTCCGATTGAGATGTTTGTGTGTGTGTGTGTGTGTGTGTTAACGACTTGTCTTTCTGATAGTGAAACTTACAGAGCGTGGGTGGGTAATACTTTCAGTCACTGCCTTAGCACTGCTCCCTCGGTCCGCCAGGTGACGCCTCCTTTTGACACATTTTTCAAACAAGTATGGGTGGAGTAAAATTCTGGGGGGTGACTTACTCTTTAAAATTCAAATTATTGCTATGAACCAGATCTATTTCAGGGTCTCCCCCAGCGCTTTATAAGCCTGGTGGCCCTCCAGGCTTTGCTTGGCCACCCGCCAGGCTAAGCGTAATGCCCCACCCCCCTCTCCGACCCTACCGTGTCCACTGACACTAACGACGCAACGAAACTAGAGCCCTCCATCAGCTGATACTGGTGAGAAACAGCAGCGGGATCAAGCGGAACGAGTGCACCCCCCCCCCCCCCCCCCCCCCCCCCCCACCTTCCCCGACGGCCGAAGCCGCCAGGCTTAACTCATTTTCTGGGGGAAACCCTGTATTTACTAGGGATGCAACGATACCACTTTTTTACAAACTGATACGATACCGATACTTGGTTCTGAATACTCGCCGATACCGATTACCAATACCGATACTTCTACCACACAAAAAAATGCAATGATTTGGAATACAGATTTTATTTTCTTCTCTGCTTTCAACAGGAAAAGTCTGTGAGGTAGATAAAAAGTAAAATATATGAATAGAAATCATCACAAAACTAAAATATTAGGTGAACAGAAATGACAAGTTACAGTGAAGCCATTTTCAAGCAACTGCATTGGTATCGGTTCCTGGTATCGGTTAACTTTTACCGATACCAGTATTGTGTCGTTATCTGCACCGAAATCGATACCAGTATCGGTATCGGTGCATCCCTAGTATTTACCTTCATTTTTCATTTCCAGTAGTGTCCAAACCTGGTCCCTGAAGGCTTCAGAATGCTTTTCTCGCTTTAACACACGAATCAGTGACTGATCAACAGTTACAATAAAACTTGGGGTCTTGATGAAACAGGATCACTATAGACTGTATAAAAATTGGCATCCGTTTCAGGATTGTGTTTCACAGTCGAGTAGTAAAGCTGCTCTGTACTCCTTTACTCAGGCCCATGCACAATTAAACAGCAGTTTAAATGTTTGCAGAGCTTTCATTTGTATGAACATTCGACTCATTTCTTTGTTTCTCTGTTTTTCTTTCATGCTGCCACTGATGCTGATCTATTACATCCAGGTAAGAGAAGCAGACATTACTTTGTTTTTCAGACAACAAAAGAACTGGAATCGTTTTGTTTTGAAATTGCTTAAAAAGTTCTTGGAGTTTACTTTGTTAAAGATATCTAAACTCAGTTAAAGCTTACCGTTTGTTCATTTCCTGTTGTTGAATTGAACAAACGTCTGCTTTTCCGTCACCTTTTTGCTCTCTTTTTCTTCTCTTTAGTCTCTTTGACTAGGCCCTCTCATTCTGGCCCGGGTCTAAAGTCTCATATTTAAAACCTCATTTATGTTCATTGGCACCACATGAAACATTGGTTTAATAGCATTTGGACACCGCACACACTCCTCTCCCATCGCCTAATACGTCTTCCTCTTTTTCATGACTTCTACCTCTTTTTTTCTCTTCCATCCTGTGTTTTCATCCTGTGGTCCTATCTTTTTCCATGGCTGTGTTTTAGAGAAGCAGCGCAACAGATAGAGAAATCACAGTTTCTTTTCTGAGACCTGGTGTGGTTGTTACAAGCAAGGTCATACTCTGCTTACATAAGGTGTGAAGTCATTTTATTGGCTAGTTTGTTGCTGTAACTACCCGGTGCTTTCTGAAATGATAATTGGCATCTTTTATAACATTTATATTGGGAGCTAAGACTGCATGAATATTTGGCTAGTAGTCGGCTCTGGATTTTGGAGTACTGTTCTGGCACTAGTGAGTTTTAAGCCTGGTTCATGCTTCTCCGTCAGCTCCGCAAGGGACAGACACGCACGGATAGACGGAGGGGTTTTGCTCTCATACTTCTCCGTCTCCTGGAGAGTGTTGCAAAGCAATTCCCCGCCAGGACAGCAGAGGGCGTAGCGCTGTTCTGTGGTATCCTGTCATGTATCGGTCCAAGATAGTGTGTTTATATTCTGTTTTTTTGTATATAAGAGACTTTTTAACACAGACAAATTTGTCTCTCATTCTCCTCCACCTCTTCATGCGCTCCCCACCTCTAAACCCACATTTCCTGTCATTTCTGTCCACAAATAAAACGCTTGCCGCACATCTGTTCACTCCTCCAGTCACAGGGGAACTAAATGTTCATGTTTTTAGAGTTTTTTTCGCGAGATACAGTGATCCCTCGTTTATCGCGGTAGATGCGTTCCAGACCTGGCCGCGATAGGTGAAAATCCGCGAAGTAGGGACACCATATTTACAGTACAGTACTATATTGAATTATCGTATGGTCACATTCTCTTTTTGTGGGTAAAACTAAAGAAAAACATTTTTTTACTTGTTTTTTTTTATAGTTTTATTACAAAAAGTGCATTTTATGATGAAATTGATGAAAAAAAAAACATGAATTTCTTGATATTTCGCATAGAAAAATACCGCGAATTGGTGAAAAATACCGCAAATCGGCGAATTTCCCTTGAATAAGGCTCCAAAGAAAAAATCCGCGAAGTCGTGAATCCGCGATAAACGAACCGCGAAGTAGCGAGGGATCACTGTATTCTTCAAGCTGCTCCGTCTGCCGCTAGTTATCCTCGGCTCTCTTCATGTTTTTGAGGGCTCAATGGCGGCGGTGTAGACGACAGCGGCGTCCTGACCAATCACAAGCTTGCGTTCTCCATCTCGACGACCAGATGTTTAGAAAAGAGAGCTCGACTCCGTCCGTCCTTGCAGGGCTATCCAGCAGGCCATTGCGTTTCTCCGTACTGACGCAGACGGAGAAGCATGAATCAGGCTTTAGTTGCCCTGAGAGTAGCATACCTCAGGAGGCAATGCGATTAGAGGAAGCATGGACAGGGGATTTGTTCAATGAGCATAAAAAGGAACATAAAATGCAAAAAAATATGGGATTACTAAAATAAAAGGTTCCTATAGCATTTTTTAAAAACATCTCGGGGAATAAAAAGGAGGAGTGATGACAGAAAGCCTATTGGCCTGTGATCTTTTTCTTTCTTATGAGTTTCCCTTTGCACAGGCTCATGGTTCCTTTGGGGGAAGATTCCTACATTCAGGTAGTACCTGTCCTCAGGGAATCTCCATCAAAAGTGGATTCCCCACATCATGAAATGTTGGCCCGTTCTATGAATTATGCAGGTCAAGTCCACAGTAGTGCACGATAAACCCAAATTAAATCAACTCCAAATACCACACTGCATTTAAAAGGATGTTTCTGTCTGCTCTCTCTAATAATTTTATCTGGGGAGTGGAGAAATACCACAGTTGCCTCATCAACTCAACAGCTTTTAGCCCATGTTATTAAATGTACAACCAAGATCCCTTTGGCTTATTCTTTGTACGCCAACTCCATGCACCTTCATGTTAAGTGACTCTTTTAAATGCTTAAAGATCACCAATCTTTTGAGTTTATAGGACTATCAACGAGTGGCTGTTTTAGGTTTTAACTTGGGTGAATTGGTTTGATTTGCAGTTAATTTTTTTGGTCTTGGTCACTGTAGCTGGTTTACATTACAATGTAATTGTTGTCTTCTTAAATCTCTTATTTCTGTTCAGATGATTGACACCCATCCACCTCTAAGCTGATGTAGCTACGAGCTAACTGAGCTAACCAAAGCTAACGGAAGTTGGTGGCCACTTTTAGCCAGAAATCTGCAGTTGAGTGACTCAGCTGCCCTCTCCATGCTCTAACACTTTTAATGTGAGGCCAACGCCTTTCTTGGAGCTAGTAGGACGCAAAACTTAAAGTTAAAGTCCCATTAGTCATCCCACTTTGTTGAAATTATTTCTCCGCATTTGACCCATCCTCTGGAGGAGCTGTGAACTGCAGACATGGTCACACTCTGGAGCTATTTGGCGGTTTAACCCTCAATTGAGCTCCTTAATACTGAGGCCTAGTCCACACATAGCTGGGTTTTTTAAAAAACGAATATCCGCCCCTCCAAAAACTTGCATCCACACCACCTCGTTTAAAAAAAAAACTCTGGTCACACGTACCCGGATAAATACGTTGTTAAGGACATGCCAGACCTGTAGGCGGCAGTACTTCCCCCATTTTTAACCTCGTCCTTCGTCTGTGGTCTTCCGCAAGGAGCAGTAATTCCGCTTGCAAAAACAAACAAGCAAAAAGCGCTTGGACAATTGATAAAGCGAGCGCGGCTCTGAGGGCATCCATGCTGTCGGCTAGTGTAAACACAGGTCGCACACGTGATGTCAGCATTTTTTTGTCGTGGAAAGTGACGTTGCGGACCTTAAAACTCCGGTTTTGTCTGTCCACACGCAGACACCCAAAACGGAGAAAACGCAGATCTTCACTTTGGCCGGAGTTTTTAAAAAGATCCGTTTTCGTGTGGATGACAGGCCAAAACGTAGAAAAATATCTACGTTTTGGCAGATCCCCGGCTACGTGTGGACAGGGCCTGAGTGTCAAGTGGGGAGGCATTGGGCCCCATTTTTGAAGTCTTTGGTATGACCCGACCGTGACATTGAACCCACAATATTCCAGTCTCAGGACAGACACTCGTACCACTTTGCCACTAAGAAAGCTGCTAGCACTCGTGCTGATAGCTCATTGGACATATTTCAATCAAAAGGACACACCCCTAATTTTTCATAATGTCAAGCATTAATTACATCTAAACGGATGAGTTGCACAAAAATTTACCCCCCTCAGAGTTGACATGGTGGTAAACGACATATTGAACATAAACATGTAAACATGTTTATTTCTGCTGTGAAGTTGGCATTTTTAACACGGGAGTCGGTGGTAATTTGGATCTGACTACACATGTCTCTGGTGTAACTAGACACACTCATACAGTTTATCAGTAAAAAATGTCCATTTGGGTGGGACTTGCTCTTTAAATACAACATAATCGAAGCATAAGGTCTTCTACTCTGACTCTAACTCACACAGGTTGCACAGCGGAGAACTTGGGAAGAGCATCTTATTAATAATTTGGGTCAATATTTTTCATGCATTTTTATATTTACATTCAAAATTCCACAAGGGGGCCGACTCAAACACCCCAGCAGGACAGGGATTGGCCCACGGGCCGTCTATTTCGCACCCCTGCCCTAAAATAAGATTAGTTTATCTGTCTTGTCATCCCACTCTTCGATTAGTCCAAACTCCTCTTTTTTCTATCACTTCTTGAGTTCTGTTTTTTTATACTTTAGCCTTTTGATTGACCTTCTCCTGCTCTTGTAATCCGATGATGTTTTATAAACATGCGAGGGAGGAGAAGAAGAAAGTGGGCGAGAGCTAATGTCCTCTGTGATGTGTGTTCACATTCCAACTATAACAGTCTGAATCATCATTTAAGTCATTTGTAAAAGCTTTTTGTGTGTGTGTGTGTGTGTGTGTGTGTGTGTGTGTGTGTGTGTGTGTGTGTGTGTGTGTGTGTGTGTTATTTTACTCCTCAAAAAATCTTGTGTTTTACCCAAAAATGAAGCAAGAAAGGAGAGGCTGAGCTTGTAAAAGTCCTCCATCAGCATGGGAAAGTATGTGCGGTCTGGGCCAGTCGTGTGTGTGTGTGTGTGTGTGTGTGTGTGTGTGTGTGTGTGTGTGCTCACATGTAGCTTCAGCTGGGTCTTTTGGCCATGTGTCAGTAAAGTTGCAGCGCCACGGTTTCTCACGCTGGTCATTGGAGCTCATAAAACAGCCAATGAGAGGTTGATGTCATTCGCCTAACCACAGATGGGCTATTTGTGTTCCTGCTAATGAAGGAAGGGCCCAATAGACAGATGGACTTGGTTTCAAGCTTCACAGAGAAGTTCTAAGGACCATCTAGCTAAAGCCCGATCCAGTGACCTGTATTAGTTCTTAAAAACCCACATCTCCTTTTCTGACTGTGTTCTTTTTGGAGGTTAGACTAAAGAAAACATCTCAGCACCTATTAACGTGATTTTGGGCTTTTTACGAGCAGCTGTAATGTTTAAAGGTCTGTAATTACACAGCGTCCAGTTTCAGTTGCTCCATTGATGTAAACTCTAAAAACCTGCACTGCAACCAAGCACACTTTACTCTTAGCAGAGCAAAGCAGACCTACAAAGTCCTTTCCTTCTATCTCTTTAAAATAAAATTTTTCCCATTTCCCTTTCTGAAATTCACTTATTTTGTGTATTCATCCTTCTTTTCCACTCTACCCTCGACAGTTTTTGGTCCTTTCATGACTTGCGGCAGCAAGGCTTTGTTTTTCTGTGGTGTGTTTATGTGTGAGCACTCACGTTATTGGCAAATACCTCGCTATCTGAACCTCAAGGGGCATATGATGGTATGGAAATTTAATCTGCACATCCTCTAATAGTTGTGTAGTAATCATACTCTGTGGAAAGTCTGAGGAAAAGCAGAGGAGCGAAGGAGACTGCGGAGACAAGAGAAAGAAATAAGAAAATGGGAAAACTGCATCACAAATGGCATAACGCTTGGCATTTAGATGCAACAGCAGATCCATAATTCATGCTGCTAATGAAAGCTAGAGTGGTAGCCATGAGTGTGGAGGGAGCCATGCTGATCAGATGGGAGGTAATAGTATTACCATACAGATAGAGTTAATGTGCCACACCCCCTTCTGAACTCTTCATCTTCCTCACACTCCTCCTTCTCCTTGGCTCCAACATGAAACCTCCCACAAGTAAAAGATAAATGGTCACAGATTTGGTTCGAGTAAACCTTAACCGACTATTAAGAATGAAAAAAGAGAAGGTTCACAGAGAAACCATTTTTACCTATTACTTTTAAAATGATCAGTCACTCGGAGTTCAACGTGCAGTCTGAACACGAAGATGGTCTTCCACCCCTGTTTTCTGCATTAGATGGAAAACACTCAGCTCGGAAAATCCTGACCGATCTACGTCAAACTGTCACTTAACATTCATGGATTCGCCCATCTGGACTCACAACGAGGAAGCTTGTTGTTGGTTTAACATCCAGGAAACATTTTACTGTAAAAAAATATACCATTAATGTAAAAAAGAAACAAAATAAACTATGTTCACATCAATAATCGAACCCGGGTCTACTGCACGAAAGTCCGACGTTTAATTATGTGAGCTAAAGCACCTGTAACATCTCTTGTATCTGTAACTTTTATATCCTAGATGACAGCTGAAACAAGCGAAAATTTTATTTTGTTGCTAATTTGCAGGAAATATCTAGAAGAAAGTTCTACAGAAAGTAGCTAAGGGTCCTCAGAAATGTAGCTAGCTTTGTCACTAGGCGTTAGGAACCGCGACAAAGTGGCACTGCCTCTCTCTCTGCTGCTAAAGCTACGGATAGCAAATGCTACGGGCGATGCCTGAGCGTGAACGCGCATGAAGCAGCCTGCTCGACCCGAGCATCTCTCTTTTTCTGTGATTTTACAGAAAAACAGGCAATCACAGTAAAAATGCCAGGGCTCATTCTACAGGACCAGGGCATTGCAGGAGAATGTATGAAGAAGACATTTATTATTTCTAGACATGTTTTGGCAGTCAAACTTCCATAATGTCCCTTTAAATATGCATCCCTATGTGTGCCTGTATGACCCCGGGTTTCCACGGGAGCCGTCAGCAGCACGTCTTGCTCGCGTAAGCTGCTGCTCGGCCCTTCCCACGAGACGCAAAGCAGCAGGGGAGCAGCTGTCACCGACCGAGCACGAAGTCACACGAGTGACTTCGTCAGTAAACACAACAACAAGCAGGAGAAAATTACAACATGGTTTGTGTTTTATGTTCTGTCTGTTTTATAATCGCCAATACGGACCTGAAAAACAACAGAGACCGCTAGCTAGGTGATAACTTCTCATGGGGACGCACAGTTAGTAACCTTTTTTAAAGTAAAGCAACCGTAAGGCAGTACGTTCTTTATTCTGAAAGTCTCGGGAGCCTCTCTCCATTTCCGCGTCCGATTTCCTGTCTTTCCTTCCCCAAAAATGTCGAACCTGACCCGTTTCAGAGGCGTCGCGCATAGAAAATAGAACCGGCGCTTAAAGGCCGCGACATGCTGCTCCTGAGGCGCGGCCGACTCGCGCTGCTGACGGCTCCGGTGGAAAAGGTTCTGTTGACCACAGCGGTTCCTATCAGCAGCTATGACGTGCTGCTGACGGCTCCTGTGGAAAGCCGGGGTGAGAGTTCAGATGTATAATTTTACACACACACACACACACACACACACACACACACACACACACACACACACACACACACACACACACACTCACTGCTAAAGTAGCACAAAATAAAAGTATAATTTTCAAAACACGTTGCTGTTAATAATGGCATAAAAGAAGTCAATACAAGGTAATCCAAAGTAAAAATACAAAAGTGAGACAGCCTTTACATCCGTACAGTGACTGTATTTGTTTATATATTTATTATTTTTTTAGAGAAGAAGCTTTATTCAGAGTTAATGGTCAACCAATTTCCCAGACAGTTTCAGTAGTGTTGATATGAACAGATTCAGGTGGCCATGATAAGACCCCCTGCTCGCTATTCTTCCCCTTCAAGGAGTTCTTCTAGCCCCAGCTTTATGCTTGTAATGCAACAGCATGTATTGTTTTGGCTGTTTGGAGAGTTTCTGACTAGAACTGATATCTTGAATAGTCAGAATCCCCGCAACAGCATTCTAAACCCATCTCAAATGATCTTATTTTACAGCTAAAGCATAAACTATCGTTTGAACCAAAGGGTCTTGACTTGTTTCCCTCAAAGACTTGACTCCAGCCGTCCTTATTTTATTGTACATGATCTCTCGGTTAGCTTTCATCTGTCTTTCAATTTTTTGTTAGACATTTGCCTTTTTTCTCAAACTCTTCCATGTAAATGTGTTTGACTTTCAGCATTCCTCAAACCACTGGTGTTTTCGGGAGCCTGCTTTCCATTTTTAAAACGGTCTTTTTGGCAGAAGCTGTGTTGTGATGCTTGAAGACTTTCAGGTGTATTAGTTTTCTAAATGTCGGATGACCTCTCACGCCTCCTCTATCCCTAATAAATTCTTTCCTCTTATATCTTGGGGACTTGTATAGTTTCTTTTCCACTTTTTTTTTTAAACATCTTGTCTTTTTTTTAAGTCTCCTCTGTTCTCTACCATGCCAGAAATTCCAATTCCATTTCCTCTAGACATCCAGTTTGCCTTGGCCCCTCACCACAGAATACAGACTGGATGATTTGCTCCTACTTTGTTAAAAAGACATGATACTGGCCTGAAAAGATGTTGAAATAACACATGCCATCCACCGGAAACTGGGAAAGCAAAGCGAGGGGATCTGTGTGTCAGTGTGCAGACTATCACGTGTCTAAAATTAAATAAATGTGTTTTCCTGCACTCAGCAACTGGGACAGACATGGCGCCCAGCAGGTAACTGGGCTCAGGTGTCTTTGAGACATTTGGCTTTGCTGACAGATGTGTGGCTGTAGGCTTTTTCTGTAACTGTGTCAGAAGCCTGGAGAGTTTGTTCCCGCTGTATTGAACAACTTAAAGGTGTGGAACAATGAAAAAGCATTTTGTAATGATAACTGCTGATTATAATTGGTCACTCTGAGTTTATGCATTTGAACATGAAAATAGTCTCCTACGCCTATCTCCTTCATTAGCTTCTGACAGAAAATAGACGGTGAAACTCTAGGATTTTAAAAGCCCGACAGATCTACGCCACACTGTCACTTAACATTCATGGACTCACCCATCTTGACTCACGACGGGGATGGCTGCTGTTGGTTTAGTGTCCAGGAAAAAGCAGAGAATGTCTCGACTAGTAGAAGCTAACCGTAAGCATTAGCAACTTCACCACACATCAGAACTCCTCCAGGCTTGTTGTTAAAGCATCCACTTTGGAAATCAGTGGTAGGGTCCCGTTATTGTTATCCAATCCGATGCGAGTAAGGCGACCAGATGCCAACTTGTCAAATGTGGGACAACGTGAAGTTCCAATGACACGATAAACAGCAGCTTATATTACGTCTTTTTGCCCTAACATCACTTTACATATACATAAAGTATTATTATCATCATCATACAGTATATTTCATGTACTATATATTCTACTTGAGTTTAACTTGAACAAGCATGCAAAAGCTTTACTATTTCACAGTTCCTCTCACGTTACCACAACATAACTCTGTAGAAGCTCTGATCATTGTAATAATATAGATAGGCCCACAAAAAAAAGCAGGGGTTTCATTGAACGTTTTCCACAACAGAATGACAGTAACAGTACCAGTAATATTTTTTAGATCTATTTATGTTTGTTTTTAATGAATTTTCCACAAAAATCAGCATCTCACAGAAAAAAATATCCATACTTTATTTTTGCTATTTTCTTCTTAATTCAGAAATAAATTTTTTTTTAAAACATGACAACAGATATCTGGATTTTAGGTGAGAGAAATAAACATCACTGAT